TGAAGAAAAAAGCCAGAATCAATGTGCTTTGGGACACTCCATTGCATGGTAAATGGAGAAGTGAGACATTTCTTGATCAGACTGAAGGCAGATCATGATACTAGGTGACCAGGCACTAGTCTGAGGCTTTAGCAGAGCAGAAGTGCATCTTTCATCTACAGCTTCAGATTTAACCAATTTCTGCTGGAAAATAGATGAAATTCCCTGAAGATTACAATCTTGGACACTCATCATGAATGTACACCATTAGTGAGTGTTGCTGGAGTAAACACAGAGGAAGTCAGACTTAATCCAAATGACAGGACTGAAGCAAAATCTGTCCTGTGGCTTTATGAAATCATTTAGACAAATGTGAAAACCCACTGAGGAAAAGGGTGTAAACATCAGTGGGCATGCTCTGGCTACATGAGTCACATCCTTTGCAGATGCTTTGGCTGTTGGTCTGGCTGCATCTTCCTGACCCTTCAGTAGCTTGTGCCCAAGAAATGTGATTGCAGGATGCCTCACCTCAGTGACTGCAGGGAGCAGTGAAGCTTGCAGCCCCTTTGCTCTACTTCCATTTCTATTCCTTCTTCCTGATCGTGCCAAATGGAGTCTTGCTGCCAGACTCAGCCTTTAGCTTCAGTAAGGCTTCATTTTTCTGCTTTGCTGCAAAGTAATATTTGGCTTTTTGGATGCCTGTCTTTCTGCACAGTAGGTTCCTGTGGAGGATTCATTCTTTAGCTGAATTTATATAAACCTTCTTTGTTGTTTGAATTCAGCATGCAGTACTTGTTCCATTCTTGTCACCTTTAGAAAATGATGTTTTTCCCCTGCAATTCCTCTGCTGATGTGAATAATGTTATCCCTGGGAGGCTCTGCTTTATAGCTGGCCAAGAACGAATAATTAGCAATGGGCACAAGTACATTTCACTTCAGGCCTTGGATTGTTGCTGTTAGCCAAGACTGTTGCTATTTTCCTAAAGCAGTGATGCCACCTCATTGCAGGAGCTTTTTCTGGGATAAATTTGTGTGTTACACAACATTTCCTCTGAGACAAGCCTATAGCAAAATTCTTTAATCCATATTACAATTAAAAATAACTCCTACAGGAGAGGGACAGCTCTTAAATATGTTCATATTTTCTGATGCTTTAAAAAAACATTATTGATAATTTTTTCCCCTTTCAGGTTGTTGATAATGTAAATTGTGTCACTGTGAGGAACTTCAAATTATGGAGAGTTTGGCAGTGGCAGGTGGCACATCAATGCTCAGCACTAACACCATTGTCCCTGCTCTGGAGGGGGAGCAAGACAGGAACTTGGACAGGGAAGAAACAGAGCAGGAAATATGCAGGTGTGACTGCAAATATGTGGAGAGTAATGCTGCCATCAGCACCCTCAGGAATAGAGTTGGGATGGACACGTTGCAAGATCAAATGGGTAAGACCTCAAACAATACCTCCTGGTGCCTCTGCTTCTGACTCCTCCTTGTGCTTGAATTACTGTGTTTATTAAATGGTGCACAAACTGAGAACTCTCATGTGTTTTACACAAAATCACAGAACCCAGATGGGCTTCTTTTGAAATACAAAACACAGCTATGTCTCCTCCATAGATTGGACTATTGAACAATCTACACTGAAATTCACTTGGGGCAGGCAAATGGATTATCTTGTAGTAAGATAAGAGGAGATGAAAATTATCAGAACCTAATATAAGTTCTTTTTCTAGCACTTTTTGCTATATCTGTAAGATTCAGAAGCCAAGTTTCTGTTTTAATAATTTTTAATGTTCCTTTTTCATCAGAGGTGTAGTACTGCCTTTGTACAAAAGAAAATCTACTTTGTGGAGTAAAATCATGCAAGTCAGAATGACCTTTTGGGTGGAGGAGTGGAGGGACATAGGTAGATGGCAATGGCCAGGCTCTTGGTTTACAGTAGGCTCAAGAGTGTTCTTATGTGAAAACACTTCCAAAAATCACAGAAAAAAACCCTATTTAATTTAGAAGTATATGTCCTGCAACTTGCATAATATCTTTTTCTTTTCACAACTGCAACACTTCTGGCATCAAAGACCAGGTGCAAGCATCCTAGGGCAGTATAAAGTTGCTCTTTAGCTTTCCAAGAAGTATCCAACACATTCCACCAAGTAGGAGTTAATATTAAGTTTCTGAACCTAATTATAGTACTTTAAGAAGTTTAAACACATTCAAACTGTATTTATAGTAACTTTTACCCTTTCATTCAAATTTAACAGCAAACTATTATTTTAAATTAAACTGATGAGTAATTCAAATGCTTGCTTATAGGCTTTGCCTTTTCCTAAAAGTCACAGAAATGGATGTTAATGTCTTTAACTACCTTTCAAGGAAATTTAGTTTTTTAATATCAAAATAACAGTGATAATAGTTCACATATCAAAAACATATGCTAATTTATTGTTCTTGTCAACTATTAAATGATCATCAAAACAATAGCATGTTGTCAAAGCTTTGACACCTTCTGTTTGTAATTGTGACAAAAAACAGAAAAAGCAGAACTACAGGTACATCTGGTCCCAGAAGCTCTAGGGGACTTAAATTTAGAATGTTTCCTAAACATAGTCAGCCTGCACTGCAGTGAGATTACTATCACATTTCTATTTAAAAACAAACATCATATAGTCCATATTAAGAAAATAAATAAAACACCAACCCAAATGTTTCTGTCAAACACCCAACCAAAACCCTACAAAACGAAAGTGTTTGGGAATTTCAATTTCTAGTTTGAGTATATGCTAGTAATAGGCATTAAAGATTTTTTTTTGTGCTTACTTCCTTTCTTTGTGAAGTGGGAAAACTCTGTTTTATGTATTCTTATTTATTTGCATGATTTTATTCATGTAACATTCATAGATGCACTTGAGGGAAGATGCAAAAGACTTGGAAATTACCATGCCCTGCTATATTACAGGGTTTATTCTAAAAGCAGAGCTTCATAGGATAATGTCTTGGGATACATGAAAATTGCCTCAGAAATGTTCTAGAAAAAAGGAAATATCTATTTCTCTTTTATTCTTAGAAATATGAAGCCTTGTCTTCACTGATACTTGCCCAGGGAGCCTTGAGAAAATGGAAATGGTTGTCTTATCAGCATGAAAATATATCATTGCCCAAAGGACAGGAAGAAATGTGGGCTAAAGGAAAAAAGCAGATTAGTATTAATTGAAAACATATTTTATTTATGATATTTTCCTGAAACTTCATATCACTTGATTTTACAGTACCCCCTCACAAGTATTGCATACACATATAACAGATAGAGAAGAGTTATTTTTCTCCATGTATTAATTGGTACAAGGCACAATAGTTTATACCACTAAAGCATCAGTGGGAGCCATTTTTAATACAGGTACAAGGAAGAGAAAATTAGGTCTGACCCTTGCTCTCTCCCAAATGATAATTCTGTTTCCTGAGAACCTTTCTTTCCACCAATTCCCCAACTTGGAATTTCACATTAAAATGATGCAATAAAGATTCAACTTCCCCCTCCAGTCCAGGAGGAAAGAAATATTCTGCAGATATTTTTTTATGAGGTTTATATATAGCAGAAAGGGGAGAAAATAGTTATTCTGTTTTAGAAATTTCTGATGCATCAAATGCTTTGAAAGCATGGTGTATTTTTCGGGGTTTTTTTCAGTGTGATTTTTATGACTTAGTAAATGTACATAATAATTCCTTTCATTTATCATAATAGAGTGTTCTCCAAGTGAAAAATGCGTGAATGTCAGTTCAAGGACCCTTCCCAATCAGGCAGAGAATTTTCCAACTGGTAAGGCATTTTTCTCCCGTCCTATCTTTATATTATAATGATTTTCTCACAGCTTACTTTTTCTTTTTGAGACAACTCAACTATGTCAACATTTGCAGTTATCACTCCTGTAAGTTTTATAATGTATTTCATGGCAGCTGTGAAGTGACCAACTTATACACAAGATTTGTTGAGAATTTCTCACAAAAAGATGGAGCAACTGCTATAAAAAACAGAAATATTTTATGTACTATAATAAACTGGTTACAAAAAAAGAGAAGCAAATAAAAAGTTCATAGCTTATTTTACATATGCCTTTCAATCCTTCAAATGTCTTATCTTTTAAAGTTTGTGGCCTTTCCAAGTATCTATTTTTTATTGTTTTAATGCTGTATTTTCAGTAAAGTGTCAATTGAGTGCAGTTCTTCAGTAAGTGGGTTCAGCAGGCTTCACCTCTGGAGGGCTCATGGCAGGCAGCGTGTATTGAGAGTCTTGGCACATTTCCCTTCTTGTGCCATCAAAAGCAACACTGAGCTGTTCCCTGCTCTCTGGCTTGACCTGACAAATCACCAGTGGCAGGCAGTCTTCCCCAGGCGTATGGTTATTTCTAGTCAAATTTTTTGTGCTTTATATACCTGCTTATCTTGCTGTGTGCAGAATTTAGGTTCTTTGTAATTGGAGGTGTGAGTCTGGGCTCACAGAAGTAGACAGGAGGTTATGATGGGGTTTTACATGACATTTCATCTCTATAAGGCATTATTATAGGGTTTTTTTGACAGAAGTAGCTGGATTTCTGTTGTTTTAGGTCAATGTAATAATTATTTCACTAACATTAACTTTCTATAAAAGTTAGATTGTGTGTCTGCCATTATATATTTACCTCAGAACAAGTTTGAGTAAAATGTACTTATACATTGTACTTACACATTTTTAAGTCAGTCTTCTCTTCTGCCAGTATGTTTTATGTTTTCAGGTAAAATGAAAAGGTCAGTAATCCTACTTTGGGAGAGATCTGATCAACATTCAGAGACTCTATTTTGTGTTCTTCCTGCTAACAACTGACTATATGACCACAGTTTAAAGGGAGAGGCCTTGTAATTCAGTAACACAGGTTTATATTTCTGAGCCACCCTTCTTGACCTTAAAGTAATGAGTAATTTATGCAAGTCATGGTAAAACTCCTGGAGATATGCATAGGAAGCCCTCTGAAAACAGATCAAGATACAGCATATTAGGCTAGAATGTGAAAGCCATTTATTTTTTCAGATTAAAATGTGAAACTCAGAGGAGGTGGAATATTTTAGTATGCACAACAGTACCATATTGCTGGAAGTGTGACCTATTTATGTACTTTGCAATTGGAATTTCTCCTGACTGGGTATTATTGGCTTGTATGTGCCCATCTGGGTGTCTGAAAATGTATGATTTACCGTTATTGAGATAAATTAACAAATTAATGTGGAATAAAAGCAGCTTTGTCAAACGTCCTCTTTACATGAGAGAAGCTGGCTGGAGCTGTACCCTTATCTGTAGTAAAAGCTTCTCATAAACAGATGCCAAGAGCTTGGCAATAGGTATCCAGCTGCTTTCAGATGTGGTGGGAAAATCATCTAAGTGAGCTTTTAGTTGTACCGTTTAACTTGGTTGGTACTGTTCAACCAGCTTAGTTGAGAATCAGCTTTTACAACATTTGATTTATAAAAGCCTTCTGAAGCAGTGGGGTGACATGTCAGATAGCCATGAATTTAAGTTTAGTATGAAGGGTTGTAACATGCTGAACTACTGCTTGTTGTCCAAGGATTTTTTTTTTATGATGTCAGGATCTGTTTGCTTTGATTTTTGGTATGTGTGGAATATTTGGAAATCTGGACATGTTTGGAATGCCCAGAAATGTCTAAATTGACAAATTATCAATCTACTTGTTTTTTTCTTCTTTTTTTTTTTTCTTCTCCATCCAGAAGTATCAGTTGTCTCTCAAAATTGTTTCATGCTAGGTTCCTATATCTACAGGATAACAAAAATTGTAAAAGAAACATGCAGTAGATCAGTGTTATGTGTGCCTGTCTCTGAAGATGAAAAAATATATCATAATGTATAATCTATGAATTTGAGGCATGTTCTGGTTATCCAAAGCTGATTCACAAACCTTGTATTACTGAAAATTGATGTCTTCCTCCAGATATCTCCTTGAAGTTAACAATGGTAAAAAGAAAGAGTGGATGTCCTGATCCCAGGCTCCAAAGACAGCTCAGAGGGCAGCTCCGTCTTCTGGAAAATGACAACAAGGAGGTGATGACTGTCTTCAGTGTAAGTCAATTGCTTGGAAATTGTTTTATTTATTCCGATAATATCCCCTGTGCTACTGAAATAGTCTGCAAGATATTTGGGTCCTATTTCCATCTATATGCTGGGTGCTTGAATTTGAGTAACCAGTAACCCCTAAAAACATTTAGGGGCTTTAGAAATAATGAATTATAGAAAAAGACTGGAGAATCAAATTGATATAAAATAAATAAACCCACCTTAATAAGTTTAATGAGTTTATTTAAAAATGAGTTTATTTAAAAAAATTTCTGCATTCATTTACATCTTTTAATTTGTCCTTGTATTGACCCATCACTTCAGCTTCTAGACACCTGGAGTTATTTTGCATGCTCATTTCCTGGGAAGCTCACTGCTAAGCCAAAGAGGAAGTCTGAAAGAGAACAGGCTAAGCATTGAACTTCCTAGGGCTAAATGGCCATAACTTTAAATAGCATACAATTGTTGGCCAAATTTTATTACTCAATTTTTTTTTTTTTTTTTTTTTTGTATATGAGAAACCTGTCTTCTGGTGGGTTTTTTTTTTTTTTTTTTCTTTTGGTCTGTGCAATGGATTCCAGCCTCCTTCACTAGCAAGCCAAATGACTGAAAGCTTAGTTATGGTTTTGACTAATACAGACACATGTTTCTACACCATTTTCCTTTCATGTGTTGTGGCCACCCCACAACCAGGCTGCTGACTCTGTGGCTCTGCAAAGTCTGTACTTCTGCTTCTCTGCTCTGGATTGTGTTTAGAGGGAGAGGGAGGAAGGAAAATGGGATTGGGAGGAAAAGGAAAAGAGCAAACAAATGGACTAGATTTGTGGCCTTATTAGAAACAGACTGGAAAAGGCTTTGAAAGACACAAGATAGATAATGTTAAGTTTTGATAGAATGTTGTATTGATATTCAGCAGTGCATGAAGCCCGAGGCTGACATACTTTAGCATGTGTTGGCAATTTATTAATAGATTTCAGGCTCTCATTAATATTTAATCTGGTGTAGAAAGGTGCGTGCAGACGATCAAAGCAGTGATGAGACATGCCTGCTGAAGAAGTCTAGGTTGGACTTTTATATTTTAATGTGTTCAGATTGTGTGAATTTAAAATATGGATGTTAAACAGGGATTATTAAAACAGGGATTATTAAAATTGTGCTGTAGCAGCCATAAAATCAGTGAATCAGCTCCATCTCTACTCATATTATAGAAAAGGTGTGAGGGACAATTTCCTCCCTGCTACCTTGAATTAGAATAAATTACTTGACCAGTCATTCAATTTTTTCGAGCTGCGCTTCCATTTTAATGTGATGGAAGTAAGGGTACAGTAGCATCATACCTGTTAGATTTAAGTTTGATTTATTTTCTGAGATAGTGATTCAGATAGTTGTCTCATAAATTACACAGTTCTTTGTATTTTCCTGAAAGTCAATAGTCAGCATCACTGGGGAGTCCTATTTTTAAGCTACAAAATGGAGTGCAACCAGACTCTATATTACCCCTTTCACTTATTTGAAGGTTTATGTAGTTGTTCCTTTTAGCATTTCTGGAATAACTTAAAATCCATCATTACCACTTACAATGGTTATTGCTTATCTTTGTTAGAAGTGTAATTTAATGCTATTCTAGCAATGTGAACCAGAACAAATGAGGATAAAAAAATCTTACTGCATTAAAAAAAACCAAACAAAAACACTTAAGGATATTTGTTCTAACCAAAGAAGAGTGAAAGTGGAAATAATTATTCAATATCTCTTCTGGATAAAGACTATACAAGGAAGCAAGTTCAAAGTTGCATCAAAGGAGCTGCATTTTTGTGTGTGTACAGAGCTCTGAGGGTAATCTACATCAGGAAGTTTTAAAACGGAAACATTTACACCAATCAAGTGAGAAATTTCAAGTTATAAAACCCCCTAAACTAGCTCCTTTCCACTATTTAATATTAATGCCCACATGTCTGGCAAAGGTAGTTCCCAAGCTGTAAACCACTCTGTGCAGAGGATATTCTTGGAAAGAACTACTATGTACTTCCCTATAGATAAACATTTGACTATGGTTATGCATATGACTATACATAGACATTTCTGAACTATACAAATCTCACTCAGTGTGGTCTTTATTTCCTCTGTAAATTAAGCTCACTGAGACTGTCAGTACAACTGCTAAGAAAGAGTTAGATTAAAATTTGGTTAAAGAACAGATATCTCATACAGATAAAATTTTGGATTCTTATTTTTTTTAATCCTTCTTAATGAATAGTATTTTAGCCTAAGTGTTACCTAGTGAGAAATCATGCTTAAATCTGGTGTAATTGTAATTAAATTATTTATTTTGATTTTTAGGAGCTTTCTGCCAGACTCCTGTCTATTCACAGTGATCAAGATTTAATAGTGGTAACATTTAAAACTTTTGAAGAAATATGGAAGTTTCTAACCTACCACTCACTGGGTAAAGTTATTTCACCATAAAATAGTTCAGTGTCAATTTGTATTCAATTGCACATAATTTCTGGGAACTTGTTGAATTTTGTGATTTATACACTGTGCATTAAGTAATAATGGAGTAGTCTCTAACTCTCTGGAAGTTTGTATTTTTGTGTAATACTGTAAAATGGCAAAGAAAACAAATTGGATTTTCTTTTTCCTAGGTTTTATAAATCATTGCATGGAGAATTTATTTCTAGACCAATCTTTCTGGCTATACTCCCAGGAGGAGGAAGATACAGGCATTGAAGTCTGTATAAATGAAAAATCATTACATTTGATGTACAGAAGTCTGCTAGTACAGGAAGGTAAGAAAGACTGTACATGCTAAGGCTAGGTTCAGGGAAGCATCTTTATTTAAAATCCCCAAATCAGACATTATGACCTATTTAAATACTTAATGAAGTTGAAGTTTAAATTTACTCACTCCAAATACACATTTTAAAGAGAAGAAAGGAACAAACACAGATTAGGTTCAGTGAGATCATGAAGGGATTGAAGAAATTAATGTGCAGTTGGTGTATAAATGTATACCGAAGGATTAGGGAGTGATGTACATTCCAACTTGCTTAATATTATTGCAGTTTCTGGAGATGTGCAGGAGGTGGTTTATAAACAGTTACAAGGCTCACATGCTTCTCCTACACAGCTTCACCTACTGGTACTGCCAGAGACAGGATGTCAGGATAGGTGGATGATTTGTTTCTGCAACAGGAATATGCAGAATTGCAGCAGAGGGCTCTGTGCTTCAATGAGACATGATCTCTGCTTTTTTTTTTTTTTCCCTACTGAAGGACACACTAGACAAAAATGTATGAATATCTGACAATCAGCAAGAAAATTCTTGATAAAGATCAGATTTTCAATTTCTAAATGAATATTACTGATGTTCTTGAAGTCAGTTTCAGGGCTTATATGACACTAAAATGTTACATAAAATGACACCTGCTCAACTGCTTTTGTTTTAGGATCTTTTTTTGTTTTATATCCTGATAATACAATACAAAAGATGATGGTTACAGACAATGAAAGAGATTATTTTGAGACTGGGGCTTTTACTGAAGAAGTAACAGGTGGATCTGTGGATGGTGACATGCCCATGAAGTCTAATGCTTCCCTGGAGCCATTGGAGCCTTTCCATCAGTAGGTACCTGACTCTGCCTGCCTATTCCATATACATCTGATTCATATACACACCTCTGCTTAGAGATGCCTCTACCTGGGGCAGGGAAAAATAGCATGACTTTCTTGGTTTGTTTTCCTGAAGTAGCAGTACTTTTACTACTCATATTAATAAAACCATAAATGTGTCTGAAGTGTATGGGCAGTGCTGAAATTGAAAGCTAATTGTGGGGGGGACACATCAGTTTTCATATGTATTTTAAATATGACTGTTACTGTCATGACATTTAGTGAAGTGTTCTATACACTAACTTCAATTTCTTTTTCTGCTTTCAGGTGGTTTCTTAAAGGGTATTCTAATCCCATTGATTTTTCATATAAAAATGAATCTAAATCGATCACAAAAGTTGGTAAGAAACTTCATTCAAACATCAACGTTAGAATAGCACCAAACTTTATGCTTTTGCTAGAACAGTCTCTAAAAAGTTCAATAACTTTTTGTCCATTGTATTAGAGTAGGGGAACAGCTTTCAAAATTAGTTTGCAGTAAAATTAGTGAGACTATAAATTTGTCTAAGATTAAACTCAAAAGAGTCAAACTCTAAAGTCTTTTGTTTCTCCTTTTTCCTCCTAAATAGTACAGGAGGTAGTACACAGTGACTGAGTTGAGGATGCCTCAGAAAATGCACCAATGTAACTGTGGATCTTTGATATGTGTGCCACTTTTTCTCATACTGACAGAGAAATAAAACTTACACAGATGGTTTGATGTTAGAGAGCAAATATGGCTTATTTTCTTCCATGATTTCAGTTTTAATACTGTACTGACTGGTGTATACCCATATCTATTCCATAGGGATCATTTTAATTGGTTCAAAATTGGTTCAAGTGCTTTACTCCAGCCCAAGTTCAGAGCCCTTTGTAAGAGGGAAATTAAGGACTTAAAACATTTCCTTTTGCTGCTCCAGTATGAAATCTGGTAGAATTGTGAGACTATCTTAGGCTTTGCTTTCTAATGGCCGGGAAATGAAGATTTTTATGCTATTTATAGATCTAATCATCAAACCAAACCAATGAGGTTGGGATGCTTTAAGTCTTGTCACAGCAGATATTCAACTCACAGGTTCCAGGAATGTCTTTTGTTAAATATATTCTGCTGACTTGCTGTTCTATTAAGTGTATTTCTATTGTTAAATTACTTTATCTGCAAATATTATTTATCTCCTTATTACATAGCAATGGGATCCTGTCTAGCTGTGATGAACTATGAGAGTATTGTGTCAGAAGAACTGAGTTTCCAGGAAGGGGACAAAATTGAGATCCTTGGCTACTTCATTGAATGCATGGAATGGTTTCTTGGAAGA